AAAAACGTACTTCTCTCTCTCTTTCTCGCGAGGAAATGAAGACGCGGTGCTTTTATAAAAGCCGAAATGAGTCGCGCTTGATTATTTTCCTCGCAGATTGAATCATTATGTAAGCCATTACTCGAATGAGATTTTTTTTATGAAGAAAATAATGGTGCTCAGCTGGCGATAGCTGAAATTCGGATGGGATATAATAAATCCTTAAAACTTGATGCTGCGACGTTCCAAGGTGCATTTCGTGGAAATTCTGTTTTCTTCGCAGAGCAGAGTTCACTTATTGGTAAAGACTTTTTCACAAAGATTTCATCGAAACGCATGCTTTCTTGCGACGAGCATTCCTTTTTTCTCAGCTTCTACGAGGCAAACAAAGGCTTTCACGTGATAATCTTGTCGTCAATTAATTTTGTCATTGAATTTATAGGTCGTATAGCGGCTGAGAGCCGCAGAGTGCAATGTTACTCGGCGTATTACCGCTATAAATGTACTTAATAACGACCGTCGACAATACCGTTGTAATGCCAAGAGTGTGCGAGAGAGAGAGAGAGAGAGAGAGAGAGAGAGAGAGAGAGAGAGACAGAGACAGACAGAGAGAAAGACAGAACGCGTTCGAGATCAATGTCGATGAAATTTTGAATTGATTCCCGTGCGAGGTGCGAGCTGCGGCACTGAAAAACTTGGCGTGCGCTGTCACTGTTTAAGAGGCGTCTAATCCAGGTACAAGGAATGTCAAATGAAAGAAAAAGGACTGAACGAGAATTGAGCAGCAAGAGCAATCGGTTGAAGGGCAAGCAGGCGTGACCTTTGAGAAGGGCCTCCTAAAGTACGAGAGGAGAGGAGGCTTGGCAAGCGAGTGTAAAGGGAAAGCCTGGAGATAAAGTCAAGATTAAGCTTTGGCTCCTTTTTTCTTTCTGTTTTTACGAGGTCGCGCGCGGCATGAAATTCAGAAGGGTGTGAATTTTGGCCTTGCCATTCGCGTGCGCGCGAAACGCAGAGCCTATAAATCATTCCAATTAGACGAAGGGAGAAAATGGACAAATCGGACGTTTGGGGCGTGAAACGCATGATGAAGTCGTATCTACCGCGCAGCCAGGGCGAGAGTCGCGTGACAGTCGCCAGTTTGTTTTGCCGAGGAGGGCCGCGTTCCTCGGCTTGATTTATCGACACGAGTCGGTCTGTGCGTCTACAGAGGGCCACTTTGCAAAAATTAATTTTTTTTTGACGACGACGGCCAATCAATTATTACTTATCGCGTGAGCCGGAGCTCTACTTACGTATCGTAGGCTTTGGCCAGTGTCCACTGACTTTTAGACTTGTTGACTTACCTGAAACAGAAAGAGAACAGTGGCTTGTTAGCTATTTATAGAATTACAGATAACAGCATTATAACTTTATTATACGGCTATTGTCTGACGCTATGAATAAATTAAAGAAAAGGAACCGAAGGATCAATCTTTTATTCATGCCATCCTTGGAAACTCATTTCGAAAAGAAACCTTTAAATCGACTGCAGCGCGAGTGGGTTTCAATCGTCGCCATCATTTTGATCAACGAACTGCTTGAGAAAAGATAAAAAGAAGAGGAAAGACGTATAGGCTCGCGAAACTTTTAATATCGGTTGCAAGATATATAACCGATGATTGCTCGAAAGACAAGTCGTTAGACAAGTCAATTTTTTTCCCTTCGCGCGCGTCATTAATATCCGGCGAACGATCGACGAGGTCATTATCCGAACGCTTAATCCGTTGAGTCGGCGAATCGCGAGACGTTTCTCTTACTTGGTCTTTAAAAAAAAAAAAGAAGGGAAGGATCGGGTATCGTAGGACGAGACTGATTGTTCACTTTCCTTCGACTTTCTTTCAATTTCTTAGCTCTCACTTAGTGGCTTCGTTTTTCTTGCTGACTTGGAAAAGGTTTACGCTCAATGGATTCTTAATTATGTAGAGACTTGAACTTCCATTAATCTTGTTGATTAACTGCAGGCATGGAGCTTTCTTTCCTTCGAATTATCATTCAATCCAATGCATTTATATTTTCCTCCCTCGAGTTTCTCATTTTGTCTTACCCAAAAACTGAATCACTCTATTGCAAATACTCTCCAACTTGAATCACTTTTCTTCGCTTCGCGGATTTAGATTCCGTAAAAAATGCAGCTCTCGTTCGCCGAGACAGACAAGAAGTGGATTGATCTCCGGGACAATTTGTACTCGTGGTCGTTAATCAATCGGCGTCTTCGACTCTTCCTCTTTTTTTCATTCGTCCTTTACACGGCCTGCTGGGACTCGCGATTTTTCGATTTACTCTGTTAATCGTCGCTCCCGACCAAAAGGACCATTTTTTAAATGCTTTTCTAGACCACGAAGACGGATCGAAGTCACCATATAAAAACCTTCTCCCGAGAGACGCCGCCGCATGAGTGTAAGGAGTTCGTTGATTGACAGATTGATTGATTGATTGAATATTTATTGGTAAAGCTGCGCAGAGCTTGGAAAAGCAAGACGTCTTTTTTTTTTTTTCTTATCCTTGTGCTTGCAAGATGATTGTGAATGCGTGCAACGCAGCAGCGGCGAGAGCAAAGTAAAAAAAAAACTACGTACGAGAGAGTGATTGATTGCTCGCGGAGCAAGTTTGCATATTTGCAGTTGATTTTTATCTATTCAATCTTGAAACTCGAGCTTCTGTCTTTTTTCGGAGAAAATACACGACTACGCATTCGATAAAAATCTAAATGCATCTGGAAAATCCTGGGGTTAAAAGTCAATTCCATTTGCCAAGCTCCGAAGATTTTCTTTTGCTCATAATCTAATCTACTTATGTACCCAAGTCCATTGAAGAGATTGTATTATTTTGCATTGTTCCGCGAGAGCTTAATTCCCATTTCTCTCTCTCTCTCTCGCTCTCTATTGATTTTATACAAGAGAGAGAGAAAGCGATATTGTTCCGCGTAATTTGTCTCTTCTCGCCGCGCTATCGTTGGAGTTTTCTCGTCCTCAGGCATTTCTTCTTTTTTACACCCCTCGACTAAATAGGCTAATAAAACAGTGGGGGGCAGAGATAGTGTGTAATGCATGCGCGGCATGACAAATGCTTGCCTTTAAAAAATCGATTACGACAGCAACAGCGACAGAAATAAAGGGCAAGTAAGACAAATCTCATGTAATTTAAAGACGCGCGGGCGTTGAAATAATGTCGGCCTAACCTCATTATTGGCGCTCCCTTGCTTTGGTTTTTTGCCTCGTAGAAAGGAGAGTCGCATTTTCATGGATATGAGCTTTGACGTCGACGACATTGCATCACGTGCATTGAATAAATTGGTTTTGGGAAGGAGGATTATTGTTTGAAAGGGAAATTGAGCAGCAGACTTCTTTACCTTTTATTGTTCGATAATGACACATCGATCGAGAAAGTCGCTCGTGTAAAAATATTTACAGAGACGTATGCAAGTATTTATAGATATTGATTATTTGATTCAATATCAGCACGATTTTTTCACTGTAAATAGAACGAAAAATTGTCACTTTCGACCGCAACAGGGGTGCAGATTCATATTTTTATGATATCATAAGTGGAAAATTTGTAGGGTAACGATTGCGATTAATTAAAAATGCACAAAAAAGTTTAGGGATATATGCGTTTTTCACGCATACGAGCGAACAGAGAGGGGGGGGGGGGGAATACAACAACGCAAGCTCAAGCAAAGCGAGGGATGTCAATTATTCGTTGCGACAAAGAAACTTTGCCCAACGCGTACTTTTAATTAGCGCATTTTTTCCTCGTTGTACTAGCCGCTGCAGCAGCAGTCAACAGAGGAATGAAGAGAGAGAGAGAGAGAGAGAGAGAGAGAGAGAGAGAAAGAGCGAGAAAGAAAAGGATGGTTTTTTTCGGCTCTACCGCTGCCAACTTTTTCAATATGAAAGCTGTCAAATTTGCGGAAGGAAAGGCAAATTGAAGCGATGCTCTCGCGCTTCCAATTAAAATTCTCTGCGCGCACTTCTTTTCGATTACTAGTCCCAAGTTTATTTGTATCTGTCTCTTTTTTTCTGTTGTTTGCAATCGTGTATACGCCAACGCGAGAATCGCTTGCATCGATAAAAAAAATAGTGGTAGTGTGGGAACGCAGTGAGTGCTTTAGAAAATTATTTCTCGCTTTCGACAGCTGAAAATGTGTAGGAGTGATCGTAGGTTTTGGGACGTGTTTTCGTGCTTAAAAATAAGTTCTAAAATTTGCTGCATGCTGAAATCTATGTTTTTCGAATTAAGAATTTTTATTAATTTTCCCGTTAAATAAAAATAAAAACGTACTTAATTCAAGAAAATGTGTTCAACAAATACAGCAAAATTGACAGCATTTTTGGCAACTATACAATTGATTAGTAATTTATTAACAAATATAAAAATAATAAGTATGCATTTAACATAAAAATTTTATCTAAAATGATTGTTATAAATAAGCTTGAGAATTTATTTCATGATACATTCGAATGAATAAAGAATTTATATTAATCTAATTCTGTTAAAAGTTTCTTCCATTAAATCGATGAATTAATGATCAGCTATATGCATTCCGATGAATCACGAATAAGTCGATTTCTTTAAATATTAAAGTGACTATATTTTTTCATAACGCGATTAGTTCTTACAGATGAAAATATATGAAGTCTTTATATTTTTAATAATAATAATAATAATAATAATAATAATAATAATAATAATAATAATAATAATAATAATAATAATAATCACTATCATGTTTTCACTCGAAAGAAAAATATTTTTAGTTAATATTGGAATATCTGATTTTATCATAAGAAGGATTTGCATCCATGTCTGACTTTGACTTGTCTACACGCGAAGACCAGTATTATCAACGTTTCCGAATGACATTTTTTATCAATACCTTGATAACGCTTCTGATGCCAATGATGCAATGATTTCTTTTGTATAAATACTGCACATATGAAAGTAACGTATTAAGATTGTCTCGGGAATTCAAATAAAGCATCATGAAGATTTTGGCGACGCTACTTCTTGTGCAAGGTAATTCATCAAAAATTATTTACACTGACTGATTTTACAAAAATATTCAGCATCACCAATATTTTTATTCTTGCAGTGTACCTCGTAGCAGCAAACCCATTATTAAGAATAGCCGGTGGTAGAGACGCAACGCCGGGTCAGTTCCCATACCAAGTTGCCATCCAATATGGAATTCCACCAGTAGTCAAACCTAAGACAACCTGCGGTGGTTCTATTATCAACAAGGAATGGATCCTTACTTCAGCTACTTGTATAATTCTTCTTCCAAGCAATGTTGGCAAGGTTGAAGTTAAGGCTGGCAAACATGAAAATGAAAAAGACAGTGAATACGTGCAGACTCGCGAGATTTTATTGAGACTCGTACACAAAGAGTATAAAACGTGAGGAAACGTTACCTTTTAAATCATTTCTATTCATGGCGATTGTTTTTTACTGAGTAGTCATGATAATATCGTGAGATGCAATGATTAGATGTTTTTATCGGATTGATATTTGATGATGCCAAATATTGAAGAAGATTGGCAGTGCAATACAAGCATTTATAATCTATTTCTTATGGTAAATCATTTATTTTCAGAATTATCAAGCAAATTCGGTCGTACGACATCGGTTTACTCAAACTCAAATCTCCTTTGGTCTTTAACGACCGCGTGCAGCCAATCAACCTACCCAAAGCCTACACAAAACCGAGCGGTCTTGCGACGCTTACAGGTTGGGGTTGGACATCTACCGGCTTAATTCCCAAAATACCAAAGGTTCTCCAAGTGGCCAAAGTATCAATAATAAGTAGGTCAAATTGTGAGGACGCTATCAGAACCATCCAACCTACCGAGTCTATCAATGACTTACAGTTCTGCAGTGGACCACTTGATAAATCAATTTCAGCTTGTGTGGTGAGTATTATATGTATATGATTTGATTTTAGCGACCTATAAGTGTATTATGAATTTGGTTTTAGGCTGACAGTGGTGATCCACTAGTACAGATTAATAAATCAAACAACAAATCAATTCAAATTGGTATAGCATCTTGGGCTGATTACCCATGTGGTGCGACTGGTGCACCAACTGTATACACTCTAGTGTCGGCCTTCGTCTACTGGATCAATGAGAGAATCAATGAAAACTCATAAAATAAAATAAAAATTCTAGTGCCCCGTCGAGCTATTTGATATGGAACGAAATGAATAAATTATTGATGTTATAATTTTAAAAGGTTTATTGTTGTTACTGATCTGCTTATTAATTAAAACTTCTTATTCGATGTCAAAACTAATATACAGTAAATTTAATCTAACATAGGATTTTGATAGACGCTGAAAAGTGTTATGTATCGCATGATATTCACATTATTCATTTGTTGTTGGGTAATAAATCTCTCATTGCGTAATTTTACGCTATAAAAAATTTTAAATTGATAATGATGATTGATTTTCGAGTTTGACACAAATAAAATTAATATCTGATTATTTGAGATTTAATATTAGATATTTTTTATTTGAATAAAATAACATTTGTAAAAATCGATTTTATATTTTAAAAGATGACTTTTTTTTAGCCTATGCTCATTGGATCGAAATTATTAACTAAGAACTAAATATATATTTAAATTATTTGATAAATTTTGCACTAACTTCGTTACTATTCGTTGTTTATTGTTGAAGTCAAAAATATTTTTGAAACTTGGAATTACGGAGATTCTTTTATGTTAGCTTACGAGAGTGCAAGAAAATAAAATACCCGTTGCGGATAGAAACTTATTTGATAGGTCGCAGATTACTCTTACGTAAAATAAAATTAAACATATAGTATTACAGAAATGCTATTTTATTCTAACTCTTATATCGTCTGATTATCGCTTGGATTTGAATAATAATTATCTACATGATTCCTTAATGAAGCATTTTTCCGTGCAACAGAAACTCCAAATCTTCCAAGAACACTACAAATTTATTATAAATTCTCAAATTAAACTGTTGACTAATCAAAACTATCTACTGATTAGATTTTATTAACCAACAAGAAAGAGATTATACCTTTAATTCGTTTGTATATGCAGTCTCAGTATTCATTAATCCGAACGTTTATCATGCGATTACATCCGGCGAATGTAATTAATACATGTAACTTGAAATCTCTACGAATATTTTATGTAGATTATTAATGGTACCGTTAGATATTGATTTTCATTATATATAAAATAAGACTCACAGTTATTATCACTTTAAACAATATATTACAAACTGATTGTTCATGCCTGCCTTTTGTCAGTTGCTAATGCTCGTAAGAAAAGACTTTACATACAAATTAAAATCCATTTATAATCACATATAGAAAATATAATCTTTATAGTCTTTCAAATTATAGGTTTTATTAACTTCAACTGCTAAGCTTCAATATTCATGAACTGAATAATGCCAATGGTATCGGGTCTTTTTATAATTTGCACCTTCAAAAAATGGAATACTAGATACTTATTACTGTGGTGGTTCGATTTTGACCAAGCAATGGATTTTAACTGCCATGCACTGAACAGACGCAACAGATTTCGTCTATCCGCAAATTCATAATTGATGAATGTTACGAAAGAGAAACGTTTTATTTGTGAATAGCATTTTGCGATGGATTGAAAAAAAGTTTAGATTCGTTAATATTATTGCATGTTGATACAATGATTCACTAAAAGATATTATCTTTCTTTCAATCAAATAATTGATTTCCAGAAACGTTTACAGAGAGCATAAAGTAAGCCTATATGATATCGGTCTGATTCAGCTCAAGATACCACATATAAATTTAACGAAGGTGTAGTGCCCATCAGCCTTGCTAAGAAAGATCGTAAACCGACGGATAATGTGACATTTTCCGGTTGGGGATCTGATAAAATGGAATGACTATTATCTTTTAAAATTATCGAGACTTGGTACCAGATTAGTTTTTCTAATTAAAAATTTTATAATCCAGGATCGTGGTCGCGAATATAATGCGATTTGGCAGAAAGAAGATTGTGAAACTGCAGCAGCGCCCGAGCCTTTATACAGTAGCACGGCGATTTCGTGCTTCTTCGAAATCCATGCATTTTTTTCTTATTTCCACATATCTGATATTGATGTTTTTTCGACCAATATGACAGTTTAAATTATCATCTATCATCCGAAAAAAGTTTTGGTTCCATCGATGCAGTTTCGAAAAAGTTACTTACGTAGAACATTGTAACGTGGGGTATTTTTTCTCCCAAGATGGGTCTAACGCTTGTCAGTTAATGTCATCAATCATATAGTCGGGCGCGCTTAATCGGTAAATAATCTATAGGTATGCGCCTATAACTCAGACTGATCATGGATCAGCCGTTTGATATGAAGTATAGAAAATTTGCTATTAAAGTTATAAACTAAAGTAATTGTTTCAAAAATTATTTATGGTCTTTTTAAGCATTAAATAAAACTCTTTACCCTTCGCCATAATTCGTTCAATAAAGTAAAATCTGATATGTAAGTAGACTATTGTATACTTGAGTGTTTTAAAATTAACTTTCTATTATTATTATTAATTATATACATCTAAATAATTAATTTGAAAATCACTCTCATATACAAGAACATGTCAGATCTACCTTTTTCGAAAGGTGTACGAGAAGAGCGGAGTATTACCCTTTAAACAAGCCTGGTAAGGCAATTACTTAAATGAATCCCCGAGCTTCCAAGGTCGTAAGCTAATCGTTGAAAGTATATCAATTAATTAAAACTATGCTCCGATAAGATTTTATCGAATAAGAAGCGAGCAAACACGTATTTTTCACTCGTTAATAAGTTGTCTCGATGTTCTATTTTTCCTCACTTGTAATGCTTATCGAATGCTTATTTTTTTTTTGACACAATTAATAAATTTAGAAATATAATCGTTATATTATCAATAATGCAGTTGAACAATGAACTTTATGATATATAAATTGATCAAAGTACTCATTTTCTACCAGTTGTTAAGATGAACACCGGTAATTTCATCGTTCTTACATGCCTACTGGCAGTTGCCAATGCACGTAAGTGGTGCATTTGTTTATTGTGTAATCATTATATTTGTCGTCATTAAATTATTCTATAGATTTCATATTGTTATAGTATAAGAGATACTGAATAAATAAATTCATTTCTAGAATGATTTGGTTAATATTGTTTAATCATAGTTTTCTTCTACTTTTGGATCGGTTTTACATTAATAATTAAAATTTATTATGTTTAATACGTCTAAAAATTCATTCAGCTTAAACAGCTTTATACCATTATCATCCTTAATATTTACATTTCAGGATGGTTTAGCAATTTCAGTTCGTATATATCAAACATATCCTCTCGGATAATCGGTGGTCACGAGGCTAAAGAAGGCGAATTTCCGCATCAGGTTTCGTTGCAGTTTTACAACGCGAAGATTCCTCACACGCATTTTTGCGGTGGTTCGATCATCAGCGAACAATGGATTTTAACAGCTGCGCATTGTGTGGAAGTTGTCGACGACGTAAATAGCCAACAACTAACATTGTCTTTTGTCGTTAAAGCTGGAAAACATGATTTAAGCAATACGGAAGATACCGAGCAGACATCATTTATTGAAACATATTTCATACACGAACGGTACCACAAGATTATGTAAGTACTTCATTTTTAATTGTAATTTGTTTCTTTTAGATCACATGTACAATTAGAAACTTTGTAAAAATATTTATAGAGATTACAATGTATCTCCATATGACATCGGCCTGATCAAGCTCAAAACTCCATTTCAACTGAATAGTCGTGTAACCCCGGTCGGTCTTCCTGATAAAAACATTGAACCCATAGGCAAAGTGATTCTGTCTGGTTGGGGTGCTATAGCTGATGATTCTAGATTTGATGAAATGCCATATATCCTCCAAACGATAGATCTTAAGATCATTGATCGTGCAGCATGCAATAAGGCTGTTCAAAAAGTTATCGAGAAAATGCCTGGAATACGAGTTTTCCCAAACTTAGTCGATGAGACGAATATTTGTTCTGCACCTAGTGGAGTATCTGCTTGTGGCGTGAGTATACATTTTCAGTCTTTGTTATATCGGCAATTTTGTGTAATACATTTATTGATCGCTGTTTTATTTTTAGGGTGACTCTGGTGGTCCATTGATTATCAAAGACAGCAATGGAAAAAATACAGTGGTAGGAATTGTATCATGGGGCATAAGCCCCTGTGGTACCAGAGGAGCTCCTTCCGTTTATGCCCGTACTTCATATTTCATTGACTGGATCAAAGAGAAGATGAGTAAACACTAGAATTATACCAACTGTTTAAATCGTTTGGCGAGGCGTTTTTTTCTTTTTTTAAATAATCAATCAATAAACTTATCTTATTTTGAATTTTAAAGTAAAAGATTGGGTTTAAAATAACATTGCTAAAAATTAAAGGAATCCAACTTTTTCATAAGTAGCATTTTTTTAAAATCTTAAAGTAATATAAATTGGATATATTTAAAAATTTATTATAAGCATAAAATTATAAATAAATGTTACTATTATACCAATGGCGTTATCTTATTTCAACATTTCCATAAAATGAAATAATAAAATTCGTTCACGTATATTCAGATTCAGAAACGTGATTTGATTGACGAGTGTCTGATGATAACGTAGGAGCTTTCGTTATCGTCTTGAGATTATTTATGAATTCAAATATGTACTGATGAAATTCTTTGAATTGATTGTTAGAAATGAATTAAGTATTTAAGAAAATTGACATCAAAAATAATAATAGAAATAGATAGAAAAAACGACATTATTTAGTATTAAATAAAAATAGAATTTTATACATTACACGTAAGTTTCAGTATAGTACACGAATTATTTATTAAATACTTTTTCCATATATTATTGAATTAACTGATAAAAAAAAACATATGAAAACTTTGTAATCGATGGCTTTAATCGACCACAAATTGTGATTACAAAGGTCATAAGTACGTTATATGTACACATGATCAACTGACATTAAAGATCATCGTATTTGCAGTGGAGATTTCGAATTCATAAAACTCTATCTAAGAAATCTCAGAAAAAACGTCATTATCTTAGATTGAATTTTGTATATAAATATTTGCGTTGCATCATGCCAATCATTAGCTAGTCAACATGAGGTTTGTCATTGGTATCTTGGCATTATTTTTTCTGGTCGAGGGTTAGTATTTTGATAAATAATTAAAAAACTATTCTGAAACGAAATTAAAAATTCATTGTATTCTACAGCCAGCAATAGTTTATCAGTGCGTGACCCTTGGCTTTCAAAAACTTATGGTCTTAGAATAATCGGAGGTAAAGATGCCAAACCTGGTCAATTCCCATATCAAGCTTCAATACAATGGCGTCTTCCACCAATCTTACCCTACACTCATTCCTGTGGAGCTTCGATCTTGAACGAATATTGGATATTAACGGCTGCTCACTGTGTCACCAGTGCACCAAAGATCGGCAATACTAACATCAAGGTTGGCAAGCATCATATTTTCAATGACAACAAGTTTACGCAGACTCATGAGATTGCATTAAAAATCGTGCATGAATCATACACTGGGTACGTTATTTGCCTATAAAAATGATTATTATCACAATAGTTTAGAAATAATTTAACGTAAATTGCTATCGATCTACGAATTCGATTATTGAAATTCGATTGTATTCTTTATAAATATGAAAGACATATATTTTTTAATTTTATTTTCTTGCTAGAAAAAAATTAAATTAGAACTAAAATAAAAAAATTAACTATAAGCAATTTTAATTCTCATATTTTTTTTATTTGCGCTAAACAGACTACAAATAAAAGGTTTCAACATGGCCTCCATCAGTTTTTTATAATGAGAAAGTCTGATATACGAAATCGATGCGCCATTGTAACAAACAAAAAGCAATTTACAATAATTAAAATTGAATATTTTCAGGGACGTTGCACCATATGACATCGCGTTGTTCAAACTGAAGACTCCAATAAAATTCAACGAACGCGTACAGCCAATTCAACTTCCAGAGCAAGACAAAGTACACAGCGGTAATGCAGTACTCAGTGGCTGGGGATTGATCTCAAAAAATTGGCTACCCAAAATGACGACGATCCTGCAAACTGCCGTTGTGCCCATTATACAGAATGACGAGTGTAAAGCTGCCATCAAGGCTATCGAATCATCTGGTGAATTATACCCTACTCAAATGTGTAGTGGACCTTTAGACGGCACTACTTCCGCTTGTTCGGTAAGAATTACAGTAAGATTCAGGCGATATACTGAAAATGAACGATATTCAATCAATGTTTCGTTTTTCAATGCCTATTTATGACACAGTCAGCTGATATTAAAAATTTCGTTTTTGTACATACGCAGGGCGATTCGGGTGGACCACTGGCAGTTCACGATAAGAATAACAAGCCGGTGCTGGCGGGTATCGTCTCGTGGGGCATGTACCCGTGTGGTTCGATTGGCGCACCGTCTGTGTACACTCGTGTCTCGTCCTACGTTGACTGGATCAACAAGAAGATGAGTGAAAACTAGAGTTGCAACGACTGTTTAAATTATTTGCCGTGAAGTTTTTTTTTCAATTGCTGTTTGTTTGAACTTGAACTTTGACGTTAGACGATTTTCTAACGTGTTGTTGAGGGTTATTATGATTTTCGGTTGTGTTTTTCCTCGACTGAAGTGATTTTGAAAAACTGAATTGCGAAGTATGTTCAAATGACTGACACAGAATAAAACAATGGTGTATTTCCACAACCTGTTTCATTTAAGTTTCGGAAAAAAAAGTAAATTGTTTAATCTTTCCTGCTTTTCTCTTACAACACATATATTTCAAAATAACTGTTCCCAATTAGTGGAGCAACGTCTCGAAATTTAACAAGTCAGTGTATACACAATAACCATTTTCAGCGTTGAACACGCGCTTGCAAATACAGTTACGTAGTGTTCTTCCACATACGTTCCAACCCCCATAGAATACGAAAACAAAGAAATGTTGTAATTAATTAATAACGAGAGCGGAAAAAGTAGTGTGAGCGAGCCGCAGACACAACGCGCTCAAGTATTAAATATCGTAATTAATGTCTCGGAGCAAGGCGAGAGACTCATTAGCTCGGCGAAGCGAGATTTTCGCACCTCCGATTTCGTCGCTCCGGGTAAGGAGGGGGATATAGAGTTCGTTGTGCGGGCTTCCTAGGTCGCTCGACGTTCCTTCATTACTAAAAGCGACGACGACAAAGCTCGCGAAAAAGAAAAAATTGCGGTTAATTTGTCGCCAGAGTGTAACTTTGTTCTCCTTCCGCGCGGTCTCCTTCATTTTCGTCACGTAATATAGGAGGCTCAAGTGAAAAAGCATCGAGCGATGGAATCGGTCGGCAAACGTACAGGCGTGTGCGCGCGCGCGCGCGTAACCAAGGCCTGACAATAATCCGACAAAAATCCTGATGTACCGAAGAGGATCAGCAACAGCAACGAGGGGTGAGAAACACGGGCATCGTTCAATCTCGTACAAACGTTGGCCCAATATCGCTCTCTCGCACACTGGTCGAGAGCGCGCGGGCACGCGCGAGCCCCGAACACGACGCTACAGCGTTGATCAATGAGGGGAGCGACGGAGATACCTCGTGTAACCAACGACGACGGCGACCGGCCGATTACAATGCGCGGCGATTCGACGTCGGCGAGGCGGCGGGAATCAGACGCGCGGTTCACACTGGCGTTTACAATGCGCTCGGGGAGACTCCTGCCTGCGACGAGGAAAAGTCAGGGAAACAGCGCCGGAGCCAGGCGGAGTGCGCTTGGCCCTCCGCCGCGCGCACATGCCAGAGCAGTTGATCCAGCAAACAGACGCAGCCCGCAACGTTTGCGCGTGCGTGCGCACGCGGATGGAAGCATATTTACTCGGCGCCTGCATCGGGTCTTACTTGTTTGCGCGTTCACTAGGCGCGCGCGTCGATTTCTTTTTAATTTCGGGCTCGTGACTCGGCGCGCGCGCGTGACTCGCCACTTTTTTCCCTTTTTCTTCTCCGCGCGCGGATGGAGCCGTCCGCGATGGATAATGCTGCCACTCGGTTCCTCGAGGACGGCACTAATGCGTTTTTCTTTTAGCGAATCCATTTTATACAGACGCCCTTCCGCCCTCTTTGTTGTGTGGAGTTTCATGGGACCAGATTGGCAGATTAACTTTCAAGTTATGCAGAAGAATGAAATTTCAGCTTTACGACCTCTTTCGGGCCTTCTTCATTCGGCATTAAGCTACTTTGTTCGCTCTGTCGGCTAAATAATTCATCGAGGAAAAAAAGCTCCAGTTGCAAATGAAGTTTTGTCTTTTCAAAGCGAATCTCCGCGAGGCTGCGCGCGGGGAGCCCGGGGAAAATTAGAATTCAGGAAAACACGCAACAGCGTATTAACAAAATTCTCGTCAACGAAAAGAAGACGGCCAGCACCTGAGCAGCAATAAGGCAAGCATAAACTATTCAAGCCTACGCTTCGCGCATAAATCGGTTGAATTATGGATTCGTCGCGTCATCTCTCGCTGTTTTTTTTTCTCTTGCCGTCGTACGCGCGCGTGTCCTGTCAGCACGACGGCGACGTTTTACGGTCGCCTGCTTCTTTATTACCGCAACGCGCCCCGTTTTTTTTTGCTTCTTTTACGACGAAAAACGTAAAAGCGTAAGAGAGAGAGAGAGAGAGAGAGAGAGAGAGAGAGAGAGAGAGAGAGAGAGAGAGAGAGAGATAGATAGATAGTTGCTGTTTTTTGGACGGGAGAGGGGAGAGTTCGCAACGTCGATAAATGGCTTTATAGCGAAGTTACCCGTGTGGGCGCTTTATGGGAGGATCTAGGCATTAGGCGCTAAACGTATCGCTGTGTTTTGGGAGCATTAAGCTTCTACAATATTGAACACGACTGGCAGCGTGAGGAAGCTATATACGCCTCAGCTGCAGGCATTAATGAAAACTTACTTTTTTGCACTTACGTTGCGGCAGGTGTCGAATGGATTTCTGATTCGTGTGTTTCGTTTCGGAGGAACAGGCAAAATACGTTTCTGCCGGACGGAAAGTGGATCGTTTGTATCTATAAAAGTCAAGGCTTTTTGGCCCGGGGCACGCAAAAAAATTAACCAATAACATCTTGAAGCAGCATCGACATTTCCCTGGCCATAAATCGCGCGCGCGAGAGCGCCTCAATCGCGTCGCGCACCGAAATTTATCGTTCCCTCTTCCTTCCTGTCTCATCTCGACGACGAAACCCTTTTCTTTCCCTCTTTGCCTTGCGATGCTTCGGCCACTATACCTTTTAGCTACGTACCACTTGATTGATCGGTTCGCTCATGATTAAAATTTCCCGCACGAATTTCTACTTTTTATGGTTAATGTCAGTTTTCCAGCTGTTGGCGCTTGATCGATGCCTAACATTTTTCGTGGTTTTTCACTTACCTGCAATAGAAAGTAAACAAGAGTATTCGTTACTTTCTAGGGCAGCATCAAACATGCCGCATTTCGTGGCATCGCGCCGATAGGCTCTCTTTTCTGCGCCAGAAAATGAAGACAAATCGACAATCGCAGACGGTCGTCAGGTCGGACCCACCTTCTACGCGCGAGAGCCAGCTCCGGACTTTTTTCTCGCTCGCGAGCGCGGAAGACGGACATTCCGCGTTGTTGTGGCGATAACTCCCTCCGGCATATGCTTTCGCGGCACATCGATGCATTTTTCTCTTATTCGAAATTTGCGCGTGCAACTTTTCGCCAAATTTTAATCAGTCGTGGCGCGTGGACGCGCGAGCTTTTGATGTCACGTAATTGGATGCAACGCTTTCCATTTGCCGAAGTATTTCATTAAAATGTCATCAATCGACAAATGGTCAAATGACAATTTCCCGCCTCCGCGTTTGTTACGTCCGAATGCGGCGTAATGAGAATTATTTGTAAATTATGCAACCGTTTGTACGCGTTACCGTCAATGTTTATGTTTGTGCGGACAACTCAGATAAAAAGAAAACAGACCATCCATCAGCGTTGTCTAAGAAAATTTATTCTCTGCGATAATGCACGCGGTAATAAAAGACGAGAAGAGCCGAGATCTGCGACGGCGAAACCAAGACGCAACGACACACACTCGCTTCATTCGTCGCCGGCGAGTCATATAACCTTCTTATCAGCTGCGCGCAGAGTAGCTCCACAATAATATTCCGTCATCATTGCTGTGTCACAGTTTCGTTTGAGAAGTCCCCGTGGCGCAATCGGGTAGCGTGTTCGGCTGTTAACCGAAAGGTTGGTGGTTCGAGCCCGCCCGGGGGTCGTTTTTTTTTCCACGACGGCAGCCAAGACCCCGCTGCATGTCGCAATACCAATAATTAGGCGGTATATAAAATTTAGCTGTCCGGTAAGGGAAGTTAATTAAGTGCGCCCGGAGTAATGTCCGAGAGCTTTTAGTTGCTAAAAGCCCAACTATTTTATGAAAGTACGTGTGTATATCGCGTCGCCAAAAATTGAACTGATGGCCTAAAGTAGTATGGCTATTCACAATTTTGTTTATTGAACATTAACTGGGTGATTAGCGATGATGAGGCAGATATTATAAATAACTTACGACGCTAATGGAGATGATCATTGATAATGATAAGGTTTCAAACGCATTTACGCCGACTCGATTGGCAATAATTATCGTTCGCCATTTCGATTATCCACCTTTCGAAAGTGGCGCACGATGAAATATTTTATTTCTAAAAAACACAAGCGTTGTCGCGTTTGCGTTTGAATTTCGAACGGGAATTTTTTCTTTTTCTCGTCCGACTTCACAACCATATTCTTTTACAACTCGCAACGGAGGGATAAAAAGAGAGAGTGAGAGAGAGAGAGAGAGAGAGAGAGAGAGAGAGTAAGAGAGAGTAAGGTGTTTACAAGTGTGCGCCGTACTCCCGGAGAACATGTAAAAGAACTAGCCGAAACAGACGAGCTACCCGAAAATAAAAAAAGAAGAAAAAAAAACACATCGCCAAAGGCTGCAGAGACGGGAGAAAAGCGGCAGCGGTGGCCCAGCCGTATTTTCATTTCATTACAACGCAAATATTCTCGTATTCCAAGTGCGCGACGGGGGGGGGGGGGGTGGTAACCGGATATTACTGGGACGAGTTGCATTGACGAGCTGGAATTTAAAATATTTCTCTCATTTGTACGGCAGTCGCGCGTGAAAAACAAAGGGAATATCAAATTAAATTAGGTCCGCGAGAGGCAGCTTTTCTTTTATTGCCTATGGCTTTCTTTGTGCGACTCGACACGGCAAGGATTTTCTCTTTTTTTTATTTTCACTGCAAAAAACAATTTCGAAAATTTCCCAACCGCGAAAATGATACGCCGGCAATTATTTGCTTGACAATCGTATTGCCGACAGAGAGGTCAATTTCCCTTTTAGACTTGCCAGACGACGGCGCCTGCAGAGCCATCGATTGCCTTCGAGTTTTTTTATTCTCTTTCTCTCTCTGTCGCCGAAGGAATCCATTTCCTCGCGGTTCGATTGGATATCTCACGACGAGATTGTCTATGCGCGTTTTTTGTAGCAGTAGGATTTTGCCATCGGACGGAAAATAGCAGGTATAATCAGAGATAGAGTTAGATGAATAATTTATTATGTCCTCAAAGCAAATTGAAAAGGGTGCGTAAATTGTGCGTAAGGAGAATCTTGACCTAAAAAAACTCTGTAAGTAAAATGAGACTAGGACTCAAAAATCCTTTCAGTTTTCCCAATAAAGTCAAACTGCTTTTCTGACGTCGCATGCCCTATT